ATTAATTAATAAATTTGTTAATAAAAAAATAAAATACTAAAATTTAATTTGATAAAGAAAATATTTTTTGTGGTTTTAATTTTATAAAGGAAAAAAAATTGATTGGTTAGTTAATTAAATAAAAATAATAAAATAAACAATTAAAACAAAATAAATGAAATAGAGAGAGATAGGGAGTTTTGGCCTGAAAAGGGTGGTTTGAGAAGCAATCTGAGGCCCATTTGAATCTGGCCTCGTTTGACTTTTTTTTTATTCCATGTGCGCATTTGGACTTGACTCCATGGTGGATTCTCAATTTGGATCACCAGATCTGGCCTTTGGCCATCTGGCTGCTGGACATGTGAAGGTGTATGGTATGCTACAAGCCTGGATCTGCATGTGATTATCTTAAGAAAAAATATATTGAGAAATTGAGGGGACCTGGGATTCGAACCCAGGTCCTGTTGGATATTGGCAAGCACACTTACCACTTGGCTGAATTGGCTTGTTTGTTAACAACAAAGACAATATTATAAGATAAAACAAGTTAATATGCCAGCAAATAAAAAAAATGCGCAAAAATTTGAAAAGGGCCAATCAGAGGAGGACACGATCTCGACCCTGTCCTCAGGCCTCTAACAAAGTTACATGCAAATTTGAATCCGCAGCTAAAAGCATAGGCCATTCCTAAAATTCATCTCAGGCCATATAAATTCCTCCCAAGACCATGGTTGCATTCGTCTTCCTCTCCCGGTCACGTCCATAGCCATCATTAAGGCTAATTTTACCTGTAACAAAAAACCCTAATCCAAGAAGCAAAACCCTAACAATGGCGTTTTGCACCACAGAGCAGATAAATGAAATCAAATAATACAAAAAGCTTGGAAATGATCTGGTCGTTACAATTATGCCATTGATTCTTTGTAATAATGCATGATTTTTGAAATACGAAATCAAATACAGAAGGGGATCGCGTGACACTTACAGCGCTCTAGGAGGTTGAAAAATGCGTGCTTTTAATCCCGAAGGTTCAGTGAACACCCAGCAATCGATTGGGATAACTTTTGGCTTCTGAAAACCTCTCTTGCTATGATTTCGAATTCCAACTTTTCACCACTTTTTTCAAGTTTTGTTTTGCTTGTTCTTGCAGCCTCTAACCCTTGTTTTCGTGCCTTAAGCTTCCTTATGTATTTAAGAATGCATTAGGTTAATAATTATGGATTCAATCTCTCTAAATCAATGCTCCCATATTTGATTTGATTCATTCTTGAAAGCTTGCCAAATTTGTCAAAAATCCATCTTTTTGCACATGATCTTGTGTGATACGAATTTGATGCTCTTAATGATGATGATCTCAACCTGAAATAGCCAAAAAGATCTCAAGTAATCAATATTTGGATTTTATTTGATTTAATTTGATTTAAAATGAAATAATTCAGTAAAAAATCAAATAAAATAATAAAAAAGAAATATGATCTCTAGGCTGAAGCTAGCACACGTGTGCAATGGGGAAAGCTCAAATCAAGTGGAAAAGAATGGGCCCATTTGACAAAATTTGAAGTTTTGGGGATAGTTGACTTTTGGCAATTTGGCAAAAATTCCCAAATTCAACAATGCATAACTTCTTCAATTTTGAACTTTTGGAGGTGTTCTTTGACTTTTTAGAAAGCTTGATATGTCCTATAACAAACCCTTTTGGTCTCATCTCATTTTGATATTCCATGCTCAAGTTATAAGCTTTGACAAAAAAAGGTGTTTTTGTTGAATTTCAAAAATGACCTATAATGTCCAAATTTATAACTTCTTATGAGTGAATTTTCTGAACTGGGGGTATGAAGATGGATTGTAGGAAATTCCATACTCTTAAAAATGAGCTTTGGATGGGTCATTTCTCATAAAGTATGAGAAAGTTATGCTTGGTCAAAGTTGAGTTGACTTTTCCTACAAAACCCTAATTTAGCAACTTTTGAGTCTTGATGAATTTTGAGCAATCCTTGATGAATCATGATCAACCCTTGATCAAATGATGAAATATCCTTCAAAATGAGAATGTTGACAAAAAAATCTTGAAGTTTGACTGTATTTGGGTCACAGTTGACTTTTGCCCTAGCACAGTCAATTTTTGGACCCTTTGAGCAATTGACTAAGCAAACTTCCTCTGCAAGGCTTGAAACTTGACATGGATGACCTTGAGAACATATTAGGACATTGGGGAGCACTTGAGGTCATTTGGACTCAAGGATCTTGATGCAACACAAAACCCTAATTTGGGGTTGATTGCCTTAGGAGATAGCTTGACTGTCCAACTTTTGAGCAATCTTGAGCCACTTGGAGATTTTTCTTGCAATGTTTTTAGAAAAATGAGATGGAAAATTTTGGGGTACAACAGCTGCCCCTGTTCAATCTTCTTAGACCTGAGGATGTAGATTGGCTTCCGTGCCTTTCGTGATCCAAAGGTGGAAGATGATTGAACACTAGAGTGCCCAGAAATTTGCACTCGCATGAAGTGGTATCAGCCTTGTGATGTCGGGAATGGGCTTACAGATTCCATTTGGAGATTGCTGGCAGGAGGATGGGCTTAAATATGCCATATGCATGAGTTTCGATCGCATAAGAGATTCCTTATCGAGAAATTGCATATCTGTTGTTGTGGAAGATTCCGCTGGGGAAGCCTGGTTTTTGTTGAGATTTAGGAACTTGCCTGTGCTTCAACTGAGAGAATGCCTCTGCTGAGTTTTAAGAACTTGTCTGTAATTCAACTGGGGGGAAACATCTTCATCAAGATCTAGGAACTGTCTAGTCTTCAACGGAGTATGATTCTGTTGAGATTGTAGAACTCGTCCACACTTCAACGGAGGAACATTGTCGAGATTGAGAACCTTATCTGAAATTCAACCGAGGATAATTTAGTTGAGATTTAAGAACCGGTCAGGTCTTCGACTGAGGGAAACATCTTCATCAAGATCTAGGAACTGTCTGGTCTTCAATAGAGTATAATTCTGTTGAGATTGTAGAACTCGTCCACACTTCGACAGAGGAAAATTGTCGAGATTGAGAACCTTATCTGAAATTCAACCGAGGATAACTCAGTTGAGATTTAAGAACCGGTCAGGTCTTCGACTGAGGGAAACATCTTCATCAAGATCTAGGAACTGTCTGGTCTTCAACGAAGTATAATTCTGTTGAGATTGTAGAACTCGTCCACACTCACTACAAGAAAAATGATAGATTGGGACGGTTATTTTGGCTGATTACGACGGTTAAAACCGTCGCAATTTACAATCTACGACGGTAGAAGTACCGTCGCAGAATCGTGCGTCCCCAGCCTATTTCGCGACGGTTGCAAAAACTGTCACGCACAACAGATAGCGACGGTTATATACCGTCGTGAATTTGACTTTATTTTTTGTTTTTGTTGTTGTTTGCGACGGTTATATACCGTCGTGAATTTGACTTTATTTTTTGTTGTTGTTGTTTGCGACGGTTATATACTGTCGTGAATTTGACTTTAACCATCGTAATCTGATTTATAAATTTCAAATAATATTTTTATTTAAATTATTATTTAGTAAAATAATTTTAAATATAATATTATTTTACTATTATATTTAAATTATTATTTACTTTAATATTTTTTTATTTATAGTATTTTTATTTTATTTTCTATCACTTTTCAACATTGTTTTGAAATGAGCAATCCAATTGTTTTGAAATATTTACTAACTCAGTATTATTAATTCAGTTGGGAAACCATTTGTAAAATAATGCAAGGAGACATTGCTTTTGCTATTGAAGCGTGAGATTTCCGTGAGATACCAGTACTTATTATTGGGAGAAAAGATTTATGAATTATTGCACATTGTAATATGCTTATACCACCTTATAACTTTGCTACAAGTTACCTATAACAAGTGAGATTTTCCGATTTTCAGGAACTATAACAAAAAGAGGTTAGCTCCGAAATCTCTTGATCATTTTGCAATCTTTGCAGCCATTTCTCTGACCAACTTAGCAGCTACCATAGCAGTCATTCCATCAACAGTATCGCGTTGTGGGTTGAGTTCAACGACGTCTCCAGCAACAACATCACCTTGAAGATTGTGTAGGATGTTAAGAACATCGCGGAAAGAAAGACCTCCCGGTTCAATATGAGACACTCCCGGAGCAAATTTTGTTTTCAAATACAAAAATAGTTGCATCATGCGTGAGAGAATAGAAATATCGACCTTGACAGCACTAGCAACATTTCTTCCCTGAGGCCTAAATCCACCTAAAACACTAATGGCCTGTGGTGTAAGACCAACATGCCCAATCACAGCTATTCCAGCTTCGACAATAGCTTTTGCTGCAACAATTCTTGAAGGTGAACCTCCTTCCAATTTTATGGCATCCATTCGTCCTTCTTTCAAAATCCGAACTGCCGTATCAACTGCCTGCTTGTAATCAAAACAACAACACTTAAAAACCACTTGGTATGGTTAGAAAGTTAAAACAGTTAAACAAATATACACCCCAAGATTATAAATTCCAATCAATTCCTTTCTACATTTCATTTCCAACTAACAACAATCAAACATGTCCCATTTCAAGTCATTGAAAAATACCAAGCTTAACAACCTAAAGGACCTGTGTGGGGTGGTGGAAACTGGGAAATCAAAACCCTTGCTACAGCAAAAAAAATTCTATTTTCACCACTTTCCCAACAACCAAAAACTTAACAAAGATAAAAAATTCAATCTTTAAAAAACAAAGAAACAAAAAAAAAATTATATACCTGTTTAGAACTACACTCATACGTTCCAAAAGGAAAATCCCCAAGAAGAAGAGGAGTCTTAGCCCCACGAGCAACGGCACGACAATGAACAAGCATTTCATCCAAAGTAATAGGCAAAGTAGTATCATGACCATGAACAAACATGGAAGCAGAATCACCCACAAGACAGATATCAATGGCGGCCATATCGAGGTGAACAGCAGAAGGGTAATCATAAGCAGTGACCATAGTAATGGGTTGTGAGTTTTTATGTTTCTGTCGGAGTTGTGAAAGTGTGACCCTTTGGGTTTGAGGTGTTGGGCCTGAATAGACGGTGTTTTCTGGGAGGTTGCTCATGAGACGGAGGTGGGTTAGAAGAGAAGATGGTTGAGGGAGGGTGGTTGTTCAGAGGATTGATCTTATCTTTGATTTTGAATCCAAGATATGAAATAGTGGAGTCAATTGAGGTTTCTTTATGATATTTTACTTTTGCTTGTGCACGTCCTTCAGCTGTTATTGATCGAATACCAACCTGAAATGTATTAAAAAGCATTGTTTTGGCAAAAGGTTACAGTTTGTAGTTTCAACAAAATCACGGCGCCACCTTGATTTTATACTTATCAACAATAAAAGATTACCTGCAAGAGTCGCCGAACATAGTCACCCTCCATGACACGAGCAAAGGAAGAAGCATGCGAATAAATGTTCCCTTCAAATGCATCATAGTTGTCAGGATGCGCATCAATATGAAGAACATCAACTGGTCCTCCAAGCTTCTCCGAGACAGCTCTAATAACTGGAAATGATATTGAGTGATCACCACCTAAAACTAAGGGTCTTAGAGGAGCCTGAAAGAATATAAACAACACGAGGATCAAGCAAGTTCGAACAGAAAGTTATCTGCAAAATGTTATAGCATTTCACATGATAGTGGAGTGAATGCTAAGAAACAATATATGAGGATGATAAAGGTGTACTTTTTTAATTCAAAATCATAAATTGACAAATTTACCTCTTCCATCACTAACTTGACAGATTCACCAATGACACTCATCAATCTTTTATCATCTACGCCACAATCTCGAATTTCTTGAATAGGGACGTCACCGACATCAGTTAGCACTCGTGAGTCTTTTAAATCCTTACCTGCAAAATCAAAATAGTATTGTTACTACAAGCTTATGATTATCATATATAACTATAGGGTTGATACAAGAAGCACGACGGCACTGAAAACTGAGATTGCAGTTAAAAACCAGTATTTTCTGCGAACCACGATTGACAGCACTGAAATAGAATACTGATGAACAGACATTGTTACAGCAATCTGTGTTATTATCAAGTCATTATAGAGCACAATTTTAGCCTATATCTCTTGAATGCAAAGGTGTTTAATAAATTAAAACTTAATCTAGATTTATAGAATATTAGATAATTACACAATAGTTAAGGCAAGAAAAATAAACACAAATCAAGTATGTTAAGCTTAAGAAAGAAAAACAGCAATTTGATAACAAGCTTTCTAGAGCATCAAGGAAACTAAATTCATTAACTGATCATTAATACGAAACACTGAATAAGCATATATAAGACACAGACGCCAATCTCAGACCTGATACACAACTAAAATATGAATGAAATAAGCTGAAATGAAATAAAATGACATAATAATACTGATGATAATCCGAGTAAAATTAAATAATTACCTAAAATATGTGTGTGCACCTTTGAGGGTGCTTCTAGACTAGACAAGACCCAAAATAGAACAAAGATTTATACAAAGAACAGGCAAACCTACATAGTAGATACTAGATATCAATCCAAAGACACAGAAAGGGATCTATATATGTTAGTAGAAGAAGTCCAACTCCTGTCACTCCCTACAGATTTATTGATTAGGTAGCCAATTCTTTTTGTATATATTCATGTGCAACCAATGATACAGTGGTACATAATTATATTATTTTTAGTTACTACTCATACAAATGTACATATACATAGTACTCCTTCGTGTCAAAAATCAATTAGGATACACAATGAAACCCATCTAGAGGGATGATTACTATATCCTTGGGGATGTCTAAGCTAACGCGGATATTTAAAATTCAACACACAATCAATACCACTAATTCAAGTCTAGAGAATGAAGATCGGGAAATAGAAACCAAACTAGAGACAGATATTCATGCAATTGTAAGGCAAAAAGATGCATTGAACACAAATCTAATCTTATTCTAATCAATTTAAAAAGTATGTCACCTCTTGACCAAAAATTGTATCGTGGTTCCAACCTTTATCACATGTCGCTTGTGAGAGTTACTCGCATACACTTCTTGCCCGTGTTTCTACAAAAACAAAAACCACATATCACCGCTACAGAACACTAAAACCACACACATATATAACCACCAAAACATTCCTGGGAGAAGCTCACCATTTTATACACAAACTCTGCCCTGATATCTTTCTCCGTTATAATCGCAGAAGCAAATCCAAGCACAACAACATGAATAGACTCATGTGTAAGTTTCACTACCTTTCCTTCTGGAAAGAAAAAAAAACACAAACCCTATTAATCAATAAAACTATCCTAAAAAAATTGAACTATCACAATTTGTTAATTTTTGTTAAAACAATAGACCGAAATGAAAGAATACAAGTAGCATTAACAAATGAAATTTAACAATACCTAAAAGCATATCTGGCTTGGGAGAAAAAAGCAACAGATTAAGCTTCAAATTAACACCAAAATAAGGATAAACTCCAGGAAGGATCTTGGCGCATTTGTCAAACGAGTAAACATCGTAAGCCAAAACGACGCCGTCGAAGATCTCGTCGTACCTGCAAAGAGACGCAAGAAAAACAAAATAAACATAAGAGTGACGTTGATTATGATGTTTGGCAGTGAAGACAAAACGCAAGGGCACTGCGCGAAATATAAGTTATTGGATGACGACGGTGGGACTCTGTCGTGGATGTTTTGTAATTGTAGGCGACGGTATTTTCACCGTCGTGGTCTTTGATGATTTTTAAATAATTTTTTTCAAGTAATTAATTAGATTTTTTTCATGCGGCGGTTAATATTGATGGGTGTGAAAATTTATTTTGTTGGTAATTTATTTTATTATTATTATTATTATTATTATTATTATTATTATTATTATTATTATTATTATTATTATTATTATTATTAATAAAAGAGAAAAAGAAGGGGAAATGAAAGAAAAAAAGTGGGAAAGTAAAAGAATAAAAAAAAGTAGCGATTATGATTGGGTAATGTAGTTACGACAGTTCACCTAATTGTCGCGGATGTGAAAAGAGGGCGGTTTTTTGGTAACTGTCGCAATTATGTTACTCATAATGCTTGAAAATCTACGACGGTTGAGCCTAACCGTCGTGAAAACTGTCGCAATTCAGGAATAAGGACGGTTTTGTGGGAACTGTCGCAATTTATTTGTCGTAAATCTCTTTTTTTCTTGTAGTGACTTTGACGGAGGAAAATTGTCGAGATTGAGAACCTTATCTGAAATTCAACCGAGGATAATTCAGTTGAGATTTAAGAATCAGTTAGGTCTTCGACTGAGGGAAACATCTTCATAAAGATCTAGGAACTGTCTGGTCTTCAATGGAGTATACTGTTGAGATTGTAGAACTCGTCCACACTATGACGGAGGAAAATTGTCGAGATTGAGAACCTTATCTGAAATTCAACCGAGGATAATTCAGTTGAGATTTAAGAACCGGTCAGGTCTTCGACTGAGGGAAACATCTTCATCAAGATCTAGGAACTGTCTGGTCTTCAGCGGAGTATACCGTTGAGATTGTAGAACTCGTCCACACTTTGACGGAGGAAGTTGTCGATATTGAGAACCTTATCTCAAATTCAACCGAGGATAATTCAGTTGAGATTTAAGAACCGGTCAGGTCTTCGACTGAGGGAAACATCTTCATCAAGATCTAGGAACGGTCTGGTCTTCAATGGAGTATAATTCTGTTGAGATTGTAGAACTCGTCCACACTTTGATGGAGGAAGTTGTCGAGATTGAGAACCTTATCTGAAATTCAACCGAGGATAATTCAGTTGAGATTTAAGAACCGGTCAGGTCTTCGACATGGCTGAGAACTTTAACTGTATCTTTCCTGAAAAGTATAGATCAGTCGTATGCAATGCATGATATATATCAAGCAATGATGTTCTCAAAATAAATGAGATTGTATTGTATGATGCGTATATGCATGTATCATGATGTATGGAAATGTAATGTTTTAGCTGGGGAAAATAAATCCCGGATAGCTGCTGGAAAATAGAGTTGAATTCTTTGTTTCCGCCGAGGGTGGCGAACGAAGATGATTGTGAGAATAAGCCTGCACGAGAGGATAACTCCGTTGGAGGATAAAATGATGAGGAAATTACTCTGTGGGGAAGAGATGCTCTTCTGAAGATTCCACTGATAAATTCCATTGGGATGAATTATCATTGCTGGTGATACTGAATCCTGTTGGGGATTGAATTCTGTTTGTGGAAGGGAAGAAATCCGCTGGGGATGATCTTTTAGTTGCGACTTCACTGTGGATAACCCTTTAGGCTCTTGTGGGGATAATCCTTTGAGCTTTGCTGGGGGAAATCTTCCTTTGAACTCGGCTGGGGATATTTATTTTATACTCTGCCGGGGACGAGCTTCCAGAGTCTACTGGGGATAATTCTTCAACTCCACTGGGGAAGCTTTTTTAGACAGCGCTGGGAAAATTTTAAATCCATTGGGGATATCTTGTATTCTGTCGGGGAATAGTAAGACTGCCGGGGATATTAAGCCTTTTTCAGTGCTGATGGTAGATAAACTCTACTTGGTGAGAATATTACCGACTCATTCATTCACAGTTGCAAGTCTCAGCTGGGGAGAGCTATGATTACTGTCCTACTGTGTGGGGAGTGAAAGTATCTTAGCCATATTCTTCAGCTGAATTTACCGTTGTACCTGGTGAATAGAGCAACTGTATAGTTTGGACAATTTTATTGCCCCTGTTTATGATATTACCAGTAATCGTCTTTTGTTTCGCATGTAAATATTTATGAGCAGTAATTAATGTCAAGTGCATATATCAAAAATGAACATTGGACGTTCTTTGCAAAACAAAATAGCTTGAAATTTCTTTGAAAATGAATTATATTAATTTTGGAATTTGGCCTGCAAATAGGCGTTTTTATACAAGAGGCTGACGTCCTAGTAAGAGAACGTCGCCGAACAGATATAGTTTATACAATTTGTGAAAAACTAAACAAAACAGCTATGTGAATAATCCCACTGGGTTCCAACTCTGTTATTGCCCTTATGTCCTCGAGCATCTCATCACTTTTCTACTTGGTTAAAGGTAGATCAGATTGCTTAGTGTCGTCTGAGCTTGATAGTCGATACCGAAGTCTGGATACAAAGTGATCCGATGAGACATAGTGTTACGCTTTAATCCCTAATTTTTTCCTGGACCGCCCTTTCGGGTTTTCAGTCCACCGGGATACCCTTTTTTGCCCAAGCCGCATTTTCAAGTTTTCGACTTGTCGGATGTACATATTTTTTTTATTTTCATCCCTTATTTTTGCCCGAACCCTTTTGGTTCACCGGGAAGCCCTTATTTTTGCCTAGGCCAGTCAACCTAGCGGGTCTTTGATTATGCGTAGTATCTTTTCACTATGTCTGCATTGACTGGGTGAGGAAGGTCGTCACCATCCATGGTGGTTAGAATCATAGCTCCTCCTGAGAAAATGTTCTTAACCAAAAATGGCCCTTCGTAAGTAGGGGTGCATTTGCCCCTTGGATCACCTTGAGGTGAGATAATGCGCTTGATCACCAGATCCCCAACTTGATACTCTTGTCGTCTAACTTTCTTGTTAAATGCCTTGATCATCCATTTGACCATGAAAAATAGCAGTAATTATTTTTTCATCGATTAAGTTCAGCTGATCAAGTCGGGTCTGGATCCAGTCATCTTCGCTCAAACCCGCATCCTTCATAATCCGAAGAGAGGGTATCTGAACTTCAATGGGCAAGACTGCCTCCATACCATATACCATAGAATAAGGTGTTGCCCCTGTTGATGTCCAGGCTGAGGTGAGGTACCCATGAAGAGAAAATGGTAACATCTCGTGCCAATCTTTGTATATAACTGTCATCTTCTGCACAATCTTCTTAATGTTCTTATTAGCCGCTTCTACAGCCCCATTCATATTCGGCCAGGAGGGAGAAGAGTTGTGATGCTGTATCTTGAATTGCTCGCAGAGCTCAGTGATCATCTTGTTGTTGTGATTGGTACCATTGTCCGTAATAATCCTCTCTGGTACACCATATCAACAGATCAGATTATGCCGAATGAAGCGTGCCACGACGTTCTTGGTTACTGTAGCAAAGGAAGTTTCTTCAACCCACTTCGTAAAGTAATCGATTGCTACCAGAATGAAACGATGCCCGTTGGACGATGTAGGTCTGATCTCATCGATCATATCAATGCCCCATATTGCAAAAGGCCAAGGAGATGTCAAAACGTTCAGAGGTACTGGAGGTATATGCACCTTATCAGCATAGACTTGACACTTGTGACATGTCCGAGAATGATGATAACAGTCGACTTCCATAGTGGACCAATAATATCCTGCCCGTAGGATTTTCTTCGCCACAGTATGTCCACTGGAATGGGTCCCGACAGTACCTTCATGTAACTCTGCCATGATCCTTTCTGCTTCATTCTTATCCATACATCACAGTAAGGTCAAATCATGGTTACGCTTGTAAAGAATTCCATTGCTGATGAAGAACTTTGCCGCGAACCTCCTCAGAAACTTCTTATCATTAATAGATGCACCCTCGGGGTATTCCCGGGCCTCAAGGTATCTCTTCACTTCATGAAACCAGGGTTTATCTGCTACCTCTTCAGTCTCAATGTCGCAGCAATGTGCAGGTTCGTCCAATCTTTCAATGATAATCCGGGGAGCTTCATTGTCCCAATTGACTTTGAACATATAAGACATCGTAGCCAGCGCGTCCGCCAACTGATTCTGCTCTCTTGGGAAGTATTCAAAGGTTATCTCCTCAAAGTGCGGAAGCAAAGTCAACACATACTCCTTGTAAGGAATAAGATTAGGGTGTTTCGTATCCCACTCGCCTTTGATCTGACTGATCACGAGAGCGGAATCTCCGAAGACACTCAAGAACTTAATCCTTAGGTCAATTGCTGCTCGAAGACCCATAATGCACGCTTCATACTCCGCCATGTTGTTGGTGCAGTTGAAACATAGTCGGGCGGTAAACGGAGTATGAGAGCCTTTAGGAGATATGATCACGGCGCCAATGCCATTGCCCAAAGCGTTTGAAGCTCCATCAAAGTACATAGACCATCGAGATCCTTCCTCAGGTCCTTCATCCGGTCCCGGTTCCTCACAGTCAGTTACTATCATGATATTCTCATCCGGAAATTCAAAGTTCATAGACTGGTAATCATCCACTGCCTGATGTGCCAAATGGTCTGCCAACACACTTCCCTTGATTGCCTTTTGGGTCGTGTACTGGATGTCATACTCAGTCAAGATCATCTGCCATCTTGATATTCTTCCGGACAAAGCAGGCTTTTCGAAGATATACTTGATTGTATCCATTTTTGATATCAATAGAGTAGTGTGAGTCAGCATATACTGTCTCAGCCGGCGAGCAACCCATGACAAAGCACAACAAGTTTTCTCAAGCAACGAGTATCGGGTCTCGCAGTCGGTAAACTTTTTGCTAAGGTAGTAAATAGCATGCTCTTTTTGGCCAGACTCGTCATGTTGACCCAACACACACCCCATTGAGTTGTCGAGTACCGTCAAGTATAAGATCAAAGGTCTCCCTTCAACTGGAGGCATCAAAATGGGTGGATCTTGGAGATACTCTTTGATCCTTTTGAAAGCGGCCTGACATTCATCATTCCATCGTACCACTTGATCTTTCTTCAGTAACTTGAAGATTGGTTCACAAGTAGCAGTCAGGTGCGAGATGAATCGGGCAATGTAGTTCAGACGTCCCAGAAAGCCTGACTTCTTTTTCTGTTCTGGGAGCCGACATTTCCTGTATAGCCATCACCTTTGCAGGATCCACTTGAATACCTTTATCGCTTACGACGAAACCCAGCAGCTTACCGGACCTCACCCCGAAGGTGCACTTGTTCGGGTTTAACCTCAGCCTGTACAACTTCAACCTGCCAAATAACTTCTGAAGGTGGTCAAGATGTTATTCCTCTGCCTGGGATCTTGCAATCATGTTGTCGACGTATACCTCAATCTCGTGATGGATCATGTCATGAAACAAAGCAACCATGGCGCGCTGATATATTGCCCCAACATTCTTCAATCCAAAAGGCATGACCTTGTAGCAAAAGGTACCCCATTGAGTAACAAAGGTTGTCTTCTCCATGTCTTCGGGAGCCATTTTAATCTGATTATAACCGGAGAAACCATCCATAAAGGAGAACACCTTATGCTGCACGGTGTTGTCAACCAGAACATCGATATGAGGTAGAGGGAAATCATCCTTGGGGCTCGCCCTATTCAGATCCCTGTAGTCAACACACATTCGAACCTTACCATCCTTCTTCGGCACCGGAACCACGTTGGCCACCCACTGTGGGTAAGAAGTAACTGCTAGAAAACCGACATCGAACCGTTTCATAACCTCAGCCTTGATTTTCTCAGACATCTCTGGGCGCATTCGATGGACCTTCTGTTTTACTGGAGGACAACCTTCCTTGGTAGGCAGGCGGTGAACCACAATATCGGTATCCAACCCAGGAATATCTTCATAAGACCAGGCAAAGATCTCAACATAGTCACACAGCATCTGAATCAACCGTTGCTTGACACTAGGTTCCAGATCTGCACCGATCTTAACCTCTTTCTTGTCCTCTTCTGTACCCAGATTTATGGTTTCCACTGGCTCTTCATGCGACTGTATGACCCTCTCTTCCTGAAGTAAGAGTCTAGCAAGTTCACCAGGCAGTTCGCAATCATCTTCACCTTCGTCTTCGGCTAAGTTGATCGGACTTTCAAAGTCATGACTGGCAGTAGCAGAGTCGTTATCAGTGGGATCCAGAGTGGATGTAGACCTGTATATGTGAGTGTGTGTAAAATAGCTGTTTTGCAATATATAATAAAAAAAACAAGGAGTGCGAAATTTGAAATGCAAGAAACGTCCAATGCTTTTATTAATGATATATGTAGATGACACACATAAAGCCCTCACAAATGAAGCCACGGTGCCCCGGGTAAGACACCGGGCCATAGAGTTTAAAACATTGTCTGTTACAAATTCAAAACAAAAGTCTCATTACTGGGTAACAAAAGAAATTGGGATGAAGTCCTTTGTTGTCCAGTTGCTTAGTCCTCCATCAGTCGTTGGGTATATCCAACTGTCAAACTCAGACTCTTCAACATCGTCTTCGATGGCATTCACTCCTGAATTGCCGATGAACAAGGGAGGTCTTCCGATACGTGCATTCCGAACAGCCTTTTGAGCTTCTGCAATGAAACCCAAACCAAACTTGTTAGTCTTTTGTGCAAAATTAGGGAGTTGGCCCCAATTTGCAAAACAACCTTTCTCAACAACAGCCCGGGCATCCTTGAAGGAAGCCATCTTCATAGGAGGATTTTTAACAACAATCTCAGTTGATGCCAGTGTCTGGGGAACCTCTTCAAAATGCTGAAATGGGGTCTCAATGAACTCGCCATCCATTTCTACATATCGAAAAGAGTTAAGGTGGCTCACCATGTACTCCTCTTCTCCTTGCACTGTCACAATTTTCCCTTTCACTGGGTACTTTAGCTTCTGGTGGAGCGTAGACGTCACTGCCCCAGCTTTGTGGATCCACGGACGACCCAACAAACATGAATAAGATGGCCGAATGTCCATCACATAGAATGTAGAGGTGAAAACCTGAGAACCAACCTTAATCGGAATATCCACTTCTCTGTGTACCATTCTCTTCGACCCATCAAAAGCCCTGACAACAATGTTACTTGGCTTCAACTCTAAACCCTCACAGTCCAACCGGTCTAGAGCTTTCTTAGGCAAAACGTTCAATGAGGAACCAGTATCCACTAATACATGGGTGAGAGTAGTGCCCCTGCATTCAATGGAGACATGCAGGGCATCATTGTGATTTTTCCCCTTAGCAGGTAGGCTGGCGTCAGAGAAACCCAACCCATTATCAGAAGTGAAACTAGCCACGCAATCTTTAAACTGATCAGCTGATGTTTCTTGCGACACGTGTGCAGTCTTCAAGAATGCAATCAGAGCCTTGGCATGGGCCTCTGAGCATAGCAATAGTGATAACATGGATATTTTGGATGGGGTTTGCCCCAGCTGCTCGACTGCATTGTAGTCGCTCTTTTTGATGATCTTCAAAATTTCCTCCATCTCTTGTCTAGAGGCTTCACTAGTAATTTTATTTGGTGCCTCCGTCTGGGCAGGCTCATCAGTGGTCCCTTTTCCTCGAGTGTCAGATGACTCAGCAACAGGGGTAAGAACGGGAACTTGAACAGGAATAGTAGCAGGTACACTGGCAGGTGTAATAACAACAGGTTTCCGGGCAGCTGGTGGAGAGATATCAGGGGAGAAAAGTCTTTCGCTGCGGGTGACTTTGGCAGGTCCAACAATATTGTTGACGTCAGTATCAGCATCCAAATCTTGTTTAACTCCGTGATAGTAAACATCAGCCTCGTAATGCCAAGGGACAACTTTATCAGATGTATAGGGGATAGGCCCTGGAATAGTGATGATCAACAGCGCGATTCTTGGAACAGATGTAATTCTAACAGGATTTCTCGAGGAAGCCTTGGAAGAATTATCGAAAATGGTAATAATAGCAACTTTTTCAGCAGGGATCAAAGGAACAAGAGTCTTCTCAAACAGAATTTCTTTATTATCCATCAAACGTTGGACACCTGACTTCAAAAGATGGCAATCGGTAGGTAAGACAGAACACATACAACAACCTTCATCACAACCCAGAAATAAACCGGCTAACAAAAGGTTCTTCTTTACAGTCATCAATGGAGTAGTAATATCCTTCACAGAAACCACAAACAAGTCTTCCTCTAT